GCACTTTCGGAGTTCGCAGCACACCTCTTAAACACAGTACCAAACGCCACACGAGTTTCTGCAGAAAGGAACTGTATGCTGTGAACACCTTGTTCGAACATCGACGCGTGAATCAGTATATCTGGAACAAGGAAGCACGTGCACAGAAGTCGATGACGGATTTGATAATTGCATCGTCTCTCTTAGGATGCTCCATAATGGATGCTCGCGTTAAGAGAGGCGCAGAGCTGTCAATCGATCACCATCTTGTTGTTGGCACCCTCTGCTGCAAATGAATGAGTAACAAGCGTACACCTGGCGGTAAAAGCAACTGGAAATCATATTGGACTACAATCTTTAACAAATGAAAGGGAAAGTTTGCGAACAGGGTCGCACGATGGTTTAAACAAATCTCAGTAATGACCACTGATGTAGAAACCTATTGGAATCCCTAGAAGAGCGGCTTTCTCAGGGCACCCGCCGAATGCTTTGGATTGAAACAGGTTGGCTTGGGGCAAGGAGGTCAGAAACGAATTTCCTGGTGGGGTGGACGCGTGAGGTTCAACTGGCTGTCAGCGAGAAGAAAGCTGCGTTCAAGACATTGCTTGGAAACACAGAGCCTTCAACTTGAACGCGACACAAAGAAGCGTGTAAGGAGCAGCGAAAGCAGCTGCCAAAGCGAAAGCTGATTTCTGAGAGATATTCAATGAGGTGTTAAAAGTGAATTTTTAGATGATAAATAAGGCATTCTGGTAGATAATTCTTCAAGTCCGAGATGGAAAGAAGCGCAGTCTAGGAGTCTTGAGCGACAAACCTGGACGTCCTATTACCTATGATGAAAACATACTCGCGGATAGAGAGAATACTTTAAGGAACTGCTTAATTCAGTGTAGCCGCAGGGAGATTCGCCTTAAAAGCAGCAGGAAACGAACGTTTGTTTCTCAGCAGAGAAAGATACAGAAGCTGTGGAAGGCTTGAAAAAGTGACAAGGCATATAAATCGGTGAAATCCGCTCTGAAATGCTTGCACATTAGGCAAACAACGCACGTTTTGTGGTTAACACATCCAGGTAGAACTGCTATGGCTAAGGAAAAGGTATCAACGGACTGAAGAATAGAGATTGTAGTACCTTCATTGAAGAAGGGGGACCTTACGGAGTGTTCCAATTATCATGACTTCCCCTTACTGAGCCTTCCGGGAGAAGTCGACGCAAACGTGCTAGAAAAGAGGTACTGTGAAAGAGCTGACTATAAGATACAGGAGGAGCGATGGGGCTTCAAGTTAAGCAGTGGCACCTTAGGGCAGACCTTCGCCTTGTGCTAGATTGTTCGCCTGAGAGCTCGCTCATCCGGTTTGCATGTGAACTGTTGACCTGAAGAGAGGCTTCAGCTGTATTCCGCACAACAAACTGTGGACGTGCCTGCCGACTTACTGGATTGATGGCCAGTTGCTAAGGGCCATCCAATCACTGTATTCTGATAGCAGGTTCTGAGTCAGAGTAAATGGCGTTAAGTCGAAGCGTTTCAGCGTTGGCATTGGTCTCCATCAAGGCTGCGTCCTTTAAATCCTACTGTTGGCGTTGTATAGGGGCAGTATAGTCAGGAGCAGTCAAGGCGATGAAGATATCAGTGTAAGAGATGTGAAGACGAGAAGGTTGCTGTTTGCAGACCACGTTGTTTTATTAGCATCTTCTGAAACTGATCTTCAGTGCTCCTTAGAAAGGTTCGCAGCCGAGTGCGACGAGACCGGCATGCGTGTGAATGCATCTAAAACGGAAAGCCTAGTGCTCGTTTTCCTGCCCGTTGTTCTCTTAAGATTAACGGAGAGGCAGTGGAGCAGGTGAAGAAGTTCAAGTACCTCGGAACTGTATTTACTAGTGATGGAAAATTGGAGGAAAAGATCGACCGGCGAATTGGAGTAGCCAGTGGCTTTCTGCGTGAACCAGCCTGACCCATTGTGACTAAAGCAGAGCTGAGTTTAAAGAGCAAGCTGCTTGCGTTCAAGTCGATCACTTGTGCTTACTTATTTTCAGGAATCACAGGTCATGGGTCATGACTGAAAAACTTCGACCTGGGGCACAAGCGGCAAAAATTGACTTTCTAGTGGGGATTCACGCGCCTGTACGTGGTCCGTATTTCATATATTCGAAAGAGTCTTGGCGCATAGCCGCTGATTCTTCAGATTGAGAAGTCACAGCTGCGATTCGTTGGACTCGTCTTGCGAATAATTAGAGAAAGGAAAACAAAACAGCTGCTGCATGCTCAACCGTCCCGCCGAAAACGGCCAAAAATGACCTGATGCAACTGTATCGAAGGACTCTGCTCCAAACTCGGGCTATCTGCTGCACAGGTTCAAAAGCTGGCAGAGGATCGGAAACGTTGAAAGCTCTGTCTGACGCGTCTGTTTTCGTGACCAGCAAGGATAAACTGTAATAGAAACTGACTGACTGCTGTTTCCATAGAAACATTAGGCAGATTGAAATCTTTGTGTCGATAGTGTTAAGTAGGGATAAAGTGGATTGCGCGCCGTTATTATCAAAGAAATAACTGAAGTTTTCAGAATAAGTTAAAGCAGATAGCTTACAAAACAAAGCTCTTGCAATAACCTGATAGAAGAAGCTGTTAATTCCGCAAAAATATGAATGGAAAGTTAATCAAAGACTTACCTTCCGTAATGGTTTCTGCTGTCTCATGACATGTTGAAGATTATCACTGACGATGCTGATCTGGTCAGCTATAAGAAGAGCACAGATTTTCATGGGCAATTATTATTCTGTTTACTGATTGCAGCCAAAGTCTTCGATGTCGGCAGATTACAGCAGTCACCAATTCCGAAAATGTTCTGATACGTTTTGTGTTGAAGAGTCTGTACGTCCACATTCATCCAACCGTTCGGCGCAGTCAGTTGTTTATTGCTTCGCAGAGGTTCCGGTGCTGTGCAGGGCGGAGAAACGTGAAGCATGTCATACTAAAAGGCATATCGCTTATTGGTTGGTATATAGCTTCAGACATAGAATTAGTTAGTAGACTGTTTTAAACCTAATTTGCATAAACATTGGCATTGATCCTGAATAAATAAGTGTTAAGGGACATTTGGATTAAACGTCTCAGACAAGCACGAAAGAAATTTGAAATTTTAAATAACTTTAATTGATGGCTGACACATAATACTGATCAAGGTGATGGTCTGATTGGTCGCATTGACAAAACGATGCAATTTAAACTGGTGCACTGAACAGCATGGACGTAAATGTGTAAAAGTAGTAGCGTAACTATGCTATGTGCAATGAAACACGCTGTACTGGTTTCTTGCGGGCCATGGACTAACAATGGGGCTCTTCCTGTGGCGCCAAAATGCGATGGGAGATTAGTTCATTATTAAATAGCACCATAGCATAGTATCAAATAATATAATTCACGTCACGCTTTAGAATCGAATTTAGCCAAAAAGGCGAACAAGTTCTATAGCAGCAATGTTCTCTGACAATCACCCAGATTATGAGCAGGGGACATGTCGAAGTAGCAAAATTTAAGACGCCCGTGCGTTCTATCAAGCATTCCATACAATTATCGTAAAGTGGTTCAAGAGTAAAACGGTAGTTCGGATTCAGTTGTTAAATCAGAAGATCAACAGGCATGAAAAGACGCGTCAATGACAAACTAAGCAAACATGTTTCAACAGTTAAGAAAGAGTTTTATTACACACACAGCGGAACGTGTCACACAACGGCCTAGATTTTGAACAGGCTTATCAGCCAAAATGGTTTGATTCCCGAAGTCGGTTTATGGGATGCTGCGCCGGTCCAGCCAATCAGACAGTACGTTCATTATGTGGTTGATTGTTCCGCAGCGTCCATGCCTTTGTCCGCTGTCCTTTGACTTCGTCGACAGGTCGAATTGTCGCTGTCACTCTATGGTCCTTTAATTTCTTGGATCCTTCAAAGCTCTTGATTAGGTTTATCCAGGTCTTGAACGTTTCCACTGAACAGACTCTGACTGTATCACATTATTGTACACTGTTCGGATCAGTAAGGTTCTAGTACTAATCGTTGAAATAAGCGATCGGGTGTTTCGTCTTGCTGCGACGAATTCAGTGCGGTGGCCGGTAGTGATATGATAATGTGTGTGTGGGTGCAGATGGTACTTCCAGCTTCCTTAGAGCTTCTTAGCTCGCCACTAGTCTCTTGGTCGCTTCTCATAGTCTGTAACTCAAATTCGTAAAATGTTTGACCGACATTTCGAAAGCTGCAGTATCAACAGATAATCTGGTAAATAGTGTTCCCACCTCTTGCGGTGGAATGCGATATCTAAATTTGGTGTATAGTGCTCGAATTTTACCTTTCGACTAAAAAGCGAAGCGGACATTCATCGTAGCGTTTAAAATCCTCCTAACCGATTCAGAGACATTGGAATTACGGAATGTACATGATATCGATTCGATTTTATTCTTATTTTTTTCTCGTCCTAGGTCTTGTCTTTTCCTCCTTTTCACAGTTTCTTGGATAACGATTGCATTCGAATACTTTATGAAGATGTTTCGAATCGTGGTCATGGAATAAACGTCCCTAGCTTTATACACCAAAAGATACTTTGTCACCCGGTCTTTTTGCCAGCGGGTGGTTGGATTTGAAGTTTGGGTACTGATCGGCATGAGTTGGCTTTCCATACACCGACGTTTCAAACGAGCCGTTAGATAAAGTTACATTACTCAGCAGTCAAGGAACACAACGTTGCCGCTTCGTTCTTTTCATCGTGAACCTAATTTCCAGAGTCATGCTGTTCAAGTGATTCAGAAGCAAGTCGTTACTATCCTTGTAGCATATAATAAATGTATTGTCTATATATCGCCACAACACTCCAGGTTTGCCGATGAGGTAGCGAAGGTAATTTTCTTAAATTTCTTCATGTAAACGTTAACAACTACTGGAAGTACGGCAAGCCCATCCTGTTTGCTGATATATCGTTCCATTTAATAGCAGCAAAATATTTCTCAAATAGAATTTTACGCATCGTAGCTATTACTCACTTGTTAGTGCCGCGCACCATTCCACATTGGTTTCGAGTCTAGCATTTCTTTCTCAGTTTCGACCGCTTACTTAATTGGGATGTTGGAGAAAAGTGACGCTATGTAAAAACTGATTATTGTTTCCTTTTCTTCGATGTATTCATTGGCGAGATTCTGTTAAAAGTCAGTGGAACTCATTATGGCGGAACTCGTCTATCCTAACAGAGGTCGTAATAAAATCGTAAGGTATTTAGTCAAGTGAGCGGGAGCTGGAGTACAGCCCACAACTGGTCCTAAAGGTATGCTGCCTTTGTGAGTCTTTGATCGTCCACATATTCTAGGTGCTCTGTCGGATTTTGGATTAAGACTGAAAAATCTCTGTTTACGCAGCTTGAATTTCATCCTTTTCAGTAGCTTGCTTATCTCTCTTTAGATCCTTCCGCCAATCTTCCATTTCGCTTCTTTTCATGAATCATCTCAGTTCAGGTCTTCTATTTTTGGACGTAATCCCTTTGTTCATTACAGAGATTGCACTCCCTACGTCAGCAGGCTAATCATCGACTCTATAAGTAACAAATATGGATTCTATGTATAGGTGCTGCGTGAAATTTTCTCAATTGCTGAATCCACAGAACAAGCGATTGTCGTCCACTTTCGGTATAACAAGCTGCATAGCAAATCCACGATTCCCAAACACTGGAGTGAAGCCCTGTTGCAGCCATGCGCATTAACCCGTTACGCCACAGCGTTGATCAAGCACAATGCATAGGACATAGAGTCAATAAAAATAAGCAAAAGAAAACTTTATCCATGCGGTCGCGAAATAACACTGATGTTGGTTTTATCTTTGATAATATATTTACGCAAGCAAAATTTTATGTACTGTTTTGATGCCATGCGTTACAGATTGTTTATAGTAATTACATTTGTGCATTATATACAATTTGCAAGTGATTATTGGTAGTTCTGTAGGAAGAAATCAAAACTAAAAATCTGCTGAATAGAATTAATTGAAGATGGGTGTTGCAACTGCAACTGCAATTAATTTTAAATGAAAATGCACTGTTTTTATAACTAAAGGGTACCGGCAAAATTTTCGTTCCTATTTTCTTCTGTTCAGTATTCAACACGTCAAATATAGCTCGCTTCTGAACGTAATCGACTTCGACAAGATTGTGCAGGAAATTCACATGGACACCACGTGCTTTTGCTACTTTTTCCATGACTTTAGAATACTTTGGGTGCGAAAACATGACATTCATCGCCGTGTTGTATGTTATAGTGGTTTGATCTCTTCGTCCTACCTAAAATTAGAGAGAATTAGAGTCATATCATGGAGAGAAATAGAGTTACTTTCCGCAAATAGTCATCGGCCAGATAAACTATTTTCTGAGGTGCACCAGCGCATTTTATAGGAGTAATTGGAAAGGTAAATACAAGCTTGCCGCATTGAATACGTTGAAGATCGTTGAACGTCTTCTCTGCTAAGTTCGGAGAATATATTGATGACACATCATCCGTTTTTAAAGCTTCTTCTAAGTCTTTAACCTGCTAAAAACGTATTAAAAATTGAACTCCAAATGCTATGCTGATCACCATATCAAAGCGCAAACGGAGGCCCACTGCGATCACTAGGAAGTCGTATGAGATCTGAAACGTACTACGTTAGTCACATTGCATGGCGACGGCGAAGAAAATAAACGTTGTCCACAGTTTACGAAGGCCAAATTGGCATATACGTATAACTGTAGCTGAGACAATATAGACAATATACCAGACATATGACTGAAAGTAATGCCCGAACATGCTGGGTAAAAGACACCATGAAAAAAATCAAAAATAAAAACGACAAGCAACAATCGTTGCATACAATACGTCTTTAAATGGTACCTGTTCTGCTTCACTTTGTGCTGATCATGATCCATGCCCTTCTGCAGCTTCACACTCTGTCAGTATCAGCTGACAGTCGTTATATTTTAACCGTTAATCATTTACTAAAGATTACCATGTCGCCGAAAGGACAAGTTGACGTCAAGCGTAGATTTCTCAATGACCTAGCGCAGAGTAAAGATTTTGTCCGGCATAAACACTCTGTCCGGAATCCTGAGAACGTGGATGAAATCTCCCAGCTATTGCCTGCCTCATCCTTGACAGGGCATTTCA